ATTTGACATGTGTCTTACACATAACCAATATTTATCAATACTTTTGTTAAATTTGAGCTAACAACATTATTGAAATAATTATTTTTTATTCATATTTAATTTATTTTTCAATGTTTAAATAAAATAAAATAACCAATCAAGTTTCTTACTTCCTAATATATTATGATTTTGTAAAAAAAATGACTTAAGTTATTATTTTTAAAATATTTTAAGTTAAGTAGAGTTCAAACATCCGTCAAAGAAAATATTCAATTTTAGTTATAATATAATATAATATGTGTTTTATTATCCTTTATATTCTAAAACTTAATAATTTTATTTATTTATATAACTTATTTATTTCAAATTAAATTAGATTTGAGATTTTGATTCAAATGGAAAAAATAAATGTTACTATCATATCAAGTAATTTACAATTAATTGATAAAAATTTTAAAAAAATAGGGTAAAAATGTCATTAATTGTACACAACGCTGTAACTAATTTAGACAAATGTAAAGTTTAAAACAAGCAACAAAAATATGCATAAAATATTATACCTATTAATACCCAAATCATAAACTGAAGTGTCTATTACCTAAACAAAAAGGTCCAATAATTTTGTTTGAAACTTTAATCTCAATCAGCCGTCGTCTGCCCATTTTGTGTTGAGCTTGTATTATTATATAATACAGAGTTTTTATAGCTTGGTCGGTGAAAAATAAAAATAAATTTATATATCGATTGTACATTAATAAAGAAAAGTTGTGGAGGTCCGTAACGCGCAGAGGCTTATAAAAAATTCCATTATGGGTGATTGGAAAATATTTTCAGTACACTTGCTGTGTAAAATAAGTATTAAATTATTAAAAACCTCTCGGGGGTCCCGACGTCATGGCTGCAGATTTTCGATCCAGTCTATCATGATTTCGGTTTATGATTATGAAACGATGAAATCGTTGTTACTAGGTTTTTAATCAACAAAGATCGTCATGGATAAAACTACTTTTCTATTTACTTTTACAATTATTTTGTTGAACATGTTTCTAAAATCATTTTTGGTTACGCGAAAAAAATTTCAGGCACTTAGTATGAATAAATTACCAATAATTGTTGAACGTTGGATTGAATATTATAGCATTCATAAAGTAAATTATAAACAACTTAAAAAAGAACAAATATTAGAGTTTATAATGATATATTGATATGTTAACTATAAACTATGAAATATTAAAAAATATTCATTGCTTTTTTAAGCTATTAATTTTTCAGTGATTAATTTATTTGGGTTTTAAAATGGGATACATTTATAGAAAATTTTGCAATGAAAAACTTGGAACAGCTGATTAATTAATAGTTTTCCGATTGATTTAAAATTAAGTATTCATTATTTTGAAAACATTTGAACATTTTATTTATCAATCGGTGGAGTTTGTTAACCTTAATTTGTAGTTTTGAAAAAATATATTTTTAAAAGATGATTCCTGTATATTAGATGTATTATATCATACATTCATATTAATATAATTATAATTTTTTCGTTTTTGTATTTCTTTCAAATTAATATTCGTTTTCAATTCGTGATATAGTTAATTGTTATGTATTAGTTATTGTTAAAATATTTGTCCGATCTCTGTATATTTTACTGTTGAAGATTAAAATGGGTATTTACATAAAATAGTTAAAATAAGTTTGGTTTGTAATCCAAAATATTGATAAGATCATTTTATATTATTTCAAATTACACCATAATTATAGAATTACTATATTTCTTTAAATCAATTTTTTTTTTTTTTTTTTTTCATAAAACAATATAATATTTATGTGGATAAATTTTCAATTAAAACAATAATTTTAAATAATGTAAAAAAAAAAAATAATTAATTTAATTTAGCATCTGATACCACTAGTTATATTATTTTAATTATTATTTATATGTTATGCATTTGTTTAGTGTTATATAAAAATAAAAATATTTTTGTTATGTATTATATTCAATAAATTAAAAATAAAATTAGATTAATAATGATTAATAAAGAGACTTTTTGTGTCTTGTTATAAAGTTATGTATCTCTGTGTGTAATAAAATAGAATAAAACATTATATCTTTCTCTCAATATAATGCTCAAGGGTACTCAGTACTCGCAAAAAGTATTTTTATTGGTATACAACATGGGTATTTTCATCAACAATATTCTTTTCACCAATTTATTGAGTATAATAAAATGTATGGCTGTAAAGTTCTTGTACTTGAATTTAAGACACATTATTTGATGTATAATAATTATAATTTTATTTATATATAGATTCAATAAAATTACTAATAAATATTATATAAGAATATAATAGATAATTACAACATAAATGTTATACAAATTAAAATTAATATTGATCCTATACTAGCATAGTATCAAAAAAAAATCGTATTTAATCTTCTACGATTGTGTATATATTAAAATATAAAATATAAAAATACTATAATACTTTAATAAATATTAAGTTATTAATTAATTACATATCATACGCTTGGCGGTAAGATTTTATTAAAAAGACAAAATTAAATGATTATACGTAGTTGCGTTGCAATTTTGCTACTATTAAGTGTTAATAATTTAAAATATGTCATTATACTTATAATATAAATATTTCTAATAAATAATGGAGTAGTTTCTTTATTTTTTCTAAATAATTTTTGTCTGTATTTTTTCTTCAGCTCTTCATAATATATATTATATTATTAAACATTTGTAACACATTAAATATATATATATATATATATATATATATATATATATATATATATATTAAATTAAATATATCACCATATTAAATTCTAATAAAACCTTAATAATATAAATATCTAAGAATTTTTTTCATAATTCATTATACGTTATAGGTATTTTATAAATCACATGATAACATAATAATTACATAGTTTTTTTAGTTAGCCGTAAATGAAAATTCCTGGTTTATCTTTTACTATCAAGGAAATTCCATTTGCAAAGGTATAAATGTCACGAAAAATGTTTAGACGGCTCAAATGGGATATTATGTTTGAAATTTATATACCCATACAGAATATAATATGTTGGAACGGTTTATTTTGCGGGAATTAGGGATATCACATTATTTATAAGCAAATCTAAACTGCATTCACCATAACACTTTAAGTCTGAAACGGTTGGCCGTTTTAAATTTTAATTTGAAGAACAACAAACGTTAAATGATAAACCGCCAAGTCATCAAAACCACCGCGAGGCGATAAAATAGAAATATTATTTCGGATCGTCAGTGGATTATTGAAACGTTAAAGTTTGGTGAGTACACATTGCAGGGTGCGCATTATAATAATAATAGATGAATGTATGTTCAAGACAAAATAATATTTTAGTGTTTGATCTGTTGATGCTGTTGAAACAGGACAACGCCGAACCTAAATCTCTATTGCACGATTTCTAAAATATGGTTTGTGGCTTAATGTTTGCTATGGTTTTATTGAACATATTATACCTACAAGATGTATGAGTACTACATTTATATTTTGTTGGCTTTTATTCGTAGAAGATACTAATAACAAATTCGTTGAAGACTTAAATATTTTTTTACGTCCGCAAACGTAATAATATAGCATAACTGTCGTATCACTGTCATATTTTCTATTAAGATAATAATGACATTATATTAAACGCATCGAGATTTTTTTCAATTTTCAACATTCAGCACAGGCAAATATTATTTTATCTCACATGTTACCAAATATCAACACACATCATTACTACACAACCAATGTTCGTGAATAGTAATATTTTCAGTGATATTTAATTTCACCTTGGAAATATTTTAATATTAGCATTATGAATAGACCTTAAAAAAGCATTAATAACATTTAAACAGCTGTTAAAGATGACAATTTTTAAGCATATTATACATTTATACCACACGTGCGCCGAGTGTAAATGTTTTAATCTTATATGGTATATAAACTCTGCCAGGAAGTTATTAGGTTTTAAAGGTAACATTTCATTACCAACGATTTTCAGATTTTTACAGAATTATTATCGGAGACGAAAAGTGTTGTATCTGTGTCTGGTAGCTAAGTGTATGAGAATATAATATAATAAAAACTAAACTTTAGGACATAATATTATATTTATCATACGTCTAGTTATATATTAATACACAAAATTGTTTGTACGGCGCTCAAAACTTTGTGAGTTCATTTTTAACTGACAAAATATTATTATGTTTACAGAACACAAAAGCCAATACCACATAATATTATACATAATCAGCGCTACCAAGCTCGATGACAATATTGATAATAATAAATTGACTATACAATATTATTTCGTCGTTCTACGATAGCATCGACGACGGTTGACAGTTAATATAATTGCAACTGTCAATGCACGACGGTTTAAAGCGTATTAAAATTACTGGACAGAAGACTACTTTATAAAGTTATTATTATATCATATAATATATTATGTTATATTTCTTTCTGTATACAGGTCGAAGTATATTCAACAGACACATATATTATAATATCTATAAGTAATATATTTTTTTTTCAACCAAATATGATGGTTAGGTAGTAACATTAAAGTTAAAGTGGTTTTTTAAAGCGTAAATTATAAATAAATATATTTAAATGATATTTAAACGTATATATATATATTATAGTTTATTTCAATTAACTTATCAGTTATCGGCATAGTGTCACAATAATCAGTTTGCACACGCCCACTCGACATTGCATTTTTTATACCCTTATTATTCGTTTCGATTGTAATAGAGCATAGTGATAAACTACGATATATTGTATGGTGTAAAGTGATAATTTTTTTTTCACGTTTTATATATTTTGTTAAAAAAAAAAAATAGTTCTTTAACCCTTATGCTCAAATAATATTTTGTTGTAACTATTATTTATTTTTCATTACGATGTACAGCTAGGTGACCATAATTTATACAACTAATTATTACAAAACTATAGTTTTTAAAATATGTACAACACTGACCTTTGTTGAACGTCTGTATAGCGTCGGTAGGCAACCACTGCCGCCAATAGTGTCCAAGACTTGTGTAGTCTATCAACTGGTTTTTCAAGGCGCCTGGATCATCGTGGCCCAGTACCGGAAATACAAACTGGCTGCTAAACGTATGGATGAGGAGATTGGTAACATTTTGGATAGCCATTACGCGGGTATGCATATCCACCACGTCTGACGACACGGAATCTCTATAAAAAGTAGATAAATCAATAAAAATCAATATACCGCATTTTGGAAACATTAAAGGTTTAAACAACAAATAGATAGATATTTGAGTACCGCTTTGCTGTACAATAGATGTCGAATGAGTCACTATAATGGCTATGTTAAATTTGAATTCAATGATAAATCATTGTATAGGAAAAATTAACTTGAGTGAAAACATTATGTCAGCCTAAATTATTAAGAATATTTCGAGATGTGTTTTTTGATACAGATATTACAGGTAATTATTTTACTATTAGAATTACAGTACTCTGGTACAATTTTTCTGAAAATATTGGATTTATTTTATAAGTAGTATTTAATTATTATAATAATATATATTTATATAATATTAAATTAACTTATATAACTCTAATATAATAACATATTTCTATAAATACCGTAAAACATCAAAAACAGGTTTATAGTATAAAAATATAACATCTTAAAATAGTTCAAAAAATTCATTTTATTCAGTAAAATGCATAATAATATAATATACGTAAAATGTTACGTTCCACGAATGATATTTTTAAATTATAAAAAAAATAAGTAACAATGTTATTTATCGTTTTAAGCACACAATTTCGTCCAAATTTTAAATTAAAATTTTCATAAAAAAAATCAACATTATATATTTTTTAAATGTTGTGGACCTCTATGATAAACTACTTATCAGAGATCCTAAATTAAATTTTCCAAACTTAGATTTAAATCAAAAAGTCATTATGCATTTCTAACTACAAACTAGTTAGATCATTATTGAGATTTTGTCTAAATTCTAACGTTTGACGTTTAAAAAAAAAAATATTGTGATATTAGAATCTTATTTTTTTTTTTTTAATTTACTAATAAACAACTTATGAAAAGCTTTACTTTGTATATTTTCAAGCATTTTTACCTTGAAAATAATTTTTAATTGGTATTTATAGAAAAAAAAAAAACAAAAATTCAAAAATATTTAACGACTACAAATAGGTCAAATAGAGTAAACAATTGTGTTATATTATATTAATGTAGGTATTCTATAAGTTTTATCCTGAATAGAAAATGTTCATAATATAAATATTTTTTAAAAATTTCAAGTATCGGGATATTTGTTGTTTCTCCCGATTATAAAAAAAAAAAATAAGAATTTTTTATTTTGACTTTTCTAAAGTATATACAAGATCCAATTTCCTATCAAAAATCACCTCTGTTTTTACAAATCAATCGACTACTTATTATGTATACATGCATACAAAAAACGCATCATTGTTTAATTAATATATTCATCGTTCCGCTCGGAATTTAAAATCTGTCGATACGATTATTAAATGAAATCATTTGTATATTATATCAATTATACAGGTGTTAGTGAACTTAGTTACATTTCATAGATTTATAATTTTTTTATTTTTTTGTCATTATAATATTTTTTTTTAAATAATTAATTTAAGTGTTTGCGTATCATGATGATCTTATAGAAATTCATACTTTGTTGAAAAATCAAAAAGGCTTGCCATAAACAATCTAAAAATAAATTAAATTTTTTTATTGAATTAACTTTAGTATTTTATTGATTAAATATCAAACGACATCAATTCTAATGAAACAAAAGTGTAAAAAGTCGTATATAAATATTTTACTATTTAAATTTTACATTTGAATGTAATGCGTAGAATGGTTGTGTATTGGCTCTAATTTAAAGAAAAAAACTTTTTTTTTAGCAAGTTTACGTTTTATTTTTATTTCCAGCATTAAACTATTAAATATATGATGTGGAAAAAGTACCATTGTGGATCGTGTGGTAGTTATAATGTAGGGGACTTTGCAAGGCTTAAAACGAGGTTGTTGTGGTGTTGGTTAATTTTTGTTTAACACATTTATTTTTTACCTTTACAAAATTTTTTTTTTCGAAAAATTTTAAACAATGGTTACTAATCTTTATGAGATATGTGGTAAAGAAAAGAATTTCTGTTTTGCTCTGCGGCAAAACTTTTGTTGAATTTTAACATCGAGCTATTTTATAATGTTTAAAATACACTTGTAATCGCACTGCCGTGGCCGTGAAAGAGCTAAAACATTATTTAAACTATTTCCAAAACATTTAGATTTCTATATTATGGTCGGTAATAATCTATTATTGAACGATACAGAACATAGTTTGTAAAGATTTATGTTTATATTGAATGTATAATCTGAGTTAAGTCGCTATCAGCAATAAAACTTGGATAGTTATTTGCCAAATTATTTATTGGCTTAGGTATTTTTGCATAGTCTTAGAGTGATTGAAAATTATATGGCTACGTAAAGAAACTTAAATGTTATACGGATAATACGACTAATGTAACACTCATTTACACAAAGTATGAAAGAGACAAAGCAACAATTAAAACATACTTTTTGAATGGTTAATCGCTGTATTATTGCACATTTTATACATATACATATATATACGTATATATATATATATTATGTTGATCAACTAAAGTGTAATGAATAATATTCTTAGTTAGATTTTTATTTTATTTTTTATTGTACATACCTATCACAGTAAAACGCTTGGGAGAGAGAATGTATACTTAACAATGACGCGTAAGCATGCGTTTTTTTATGTCTGAAAATATGTTTAAGTTCCAGCGGAGTACTTCAACAGCTATTTTATAAATACAAACATTTACTAAATTTAAAATATAACTGATGTAAACTGAGTAATCGATATTTAAATAGTGGTATAAAAATCGATATTTCCTCATATACTTATAAATACATCATTTTTTTTTTTTTTTTAATATTTGCAATGTTTTTTATATATTTTAAATAATTATTATTATTAAATGCCTAATAGCCCTAATACGTTATAGCGAGTGAGTTTATAAAACATTTAATGTATTTGAATATTATTAGGCGTGATTACTTCAAACAACTTGTCTGAACTTATAGGAAATTATTATAACTCATTATTAGTATGTTATTAAACATTTTTTAATTTTTAAATAAAACTTGCAAATATATTTTATAAATAATCTATTTGTGTTTTTTTTTAATAAGTAATAAGTATAAAATAATGTTTTTATAATATTTTTAAAATAACTTGTCAAATAGTATTAAATCTATTACATAATATTATTAATTTTTTATAAATAATTACTACTTTTCACTAAACATTTTATATTGCCTACTATATATCTGCAGTATATGTTTTGAGTTTTGTATGAAAATCATCACATTAAAATAACAAAAAGATTTTTTAATGATTTTTTATTTTAATTGAAAAATTTCTAGCTATTTTGGTAATTATATATTTTTAGTTTTCTAAAAAACTGTATTAAGTTATCTTTAATTTTAATTTAAAAATACAAATTTTATTTTTAAATAATGTTTTGGAACGATACGTTTATTGGTAAATAATTAAAATAATGTTAAAACTCTTCAATTTGTGATTTTATTTGATAATAATTTCAAAGATTTTTTCTGTGATTGGTGATAACTTTAAATTTATTTATTATGAATTTTTATCAATAAATACACAATAATAAACATCATGCTAAGTTATGCAAATGTATATGAACAATAACGTAGGCTACATCAGTCCCTAGCTATTTAGGACGTCCGATAACGTGACAGACCATAAGGTTTTTGTAAAGTTAATATTTTAAAATTGATAAGTGATTGTTCATGCTTAATATCAACAGTAGTTTCTCAGCTAAACAAGTTTAGAGAAGTTATCCGTTGAAAACTTTGTTGTATGCGATTATGTATTGTTTTTTTTTTTCAGATTTGGTAAACTGCTGGTGGTTACGAGACTACCGTTGATTAGGGTCGACTGACTTGAGTATTTCGATTAATATAGACATTGACATTGATACGCGATAAAATCAGATGCAATAAACAAAGGACTTAAAATTATATCATAATATTAAACAATACATTTCTAAATGATTGTAGTTAGTGTGAAGAGCGATTTAAAAGGCTATACATTGTTATATTTTAAGCCTACGCAACCAACTTATACAACCATATGTTCATTATTTTTTTTTTTTTTTTTATAATTTTATTATGATAATTTAATTCACGCTCATAAAAATAGAGTTTAGAGAGAGATACACTACGAGATCAACATAAATATTATCTATAAACAACGTTTTCTACGCTGAGGTTGTTACATAAATCTTTTGAACATATAAGTATGAATGTTGCACCAAATTGTTTGTTCAAGGATTTGGCATAATAGGCTATGTTGACTGGGTTGGTTTTACGTTTTTAATATTAATAGAGTTTACTTGAAAAGGTAGGTTGATATGGTAAGTGTATTCTTAGTTAGAACGTAAAACAGTGATATTTTTAGAGAAAACATAATATCTCAGAGTATCAAAATAAGTTCTTTGTATTCATTATTATTTTTTTTCAAAGAGATTTAAATTATATCGAGAAAATACTAATAATAAGATATTATAAATTACAGTGAATATACTTTGAAATATAAATTTGAAGTGTAAAAATAAAACAATAGCATATGTTTAAAAAAAAAAAACAACCTACCATATCAACCTTGCCCCTACCATAGTTCATAACCTCTACAACAGCTAATGGCCCTAGTCGCCGAAGCTTAAGTTCGATAAAAAAAAAAAAAAAAAAACATAATAATCAAAAATATTTATTTAATTTTAATCACAATTCCGCATTATAAGAAAATATGTATTTTATTATAAACAAAAATATAAAACAATTAATTCTTATGTTGTATTTTCTGAAAAAAACTTTAAAAATATTGTTTTCATGTTATCTAAAATAAATTTATCATAATGGCGAATTAATATTAAACATAATCAAAATAGTAATGTTTGTTCTCGTTTATTATGTAATAAATTTAAATTACACACTGTTAGTAAAAAAAATCAAATTTACTACATGCGACACGCGATGGCTTAAAATTGAATTTACTAATAATTTTAACTTTATTTTATTTTATTTATTTATTTTTTTTTTTTTTGAACCCTTA